CAAACCATCCACGTCCTCTAAATACTGTAGAACGGGTAATTTTAGCGACTATTAATTTTAGCGTTTTCCCATTGTCAACCGGTTGGCGACGTTTTATTTTAGCGATTTGCAGCGATTTTACTCACGGGTCACCAGTGCACTACTAATGTCTCAACGGATTAGCGACTTGAAACTTTAGCGAAAAGGAGTCGATCGCTAAATTCGCTAGGGTTTTTACGTCGCTAAAATTACCCGTTCTACAGTATCAGGCTGACGGGGGAATGGGGCCATAACAAACCATCCAGCTCCTCTGTAACTGTCACCATACAGCTTCGGCTTGTGGCGTGATTCTGCTGTGGGTTAGAATTACTTCTTGGCTGAGTTCTGTTCTACTGGTTTTACGTACTGGCCTGCTGTGTCTGTGTAGGTGAAGATTTGCGTGGTATCAAGTTAGTCGGAGATGTCAGCGGCAGAATTGCCGTCATCGTGGTAAGTAGAAGATCAGCTCTTGTGTCCTCATTGCTGCTGTTGCTTTTGGTGCCCTTGGTGGTGGTGCGGCTGCTGGTGATTGTGGTGGTGATCGTGGTCGTGGTCATGTTGGCGGTGGTGGTTCTGCTGTTGCTGCGCCTGCTGTGTTGTTATTGGTGGCTATGGTGGTGCTACTGCTGCTGCTGTCATTTGTAGTTGTGGGAATGGGGTTTATGCATAAAACATGGCTGCCTCCTTCATCAGGGACAACGTGTCCCATATTTGGCAGGTACAGCCAGTTGTAGTACATTAGTGGGTATTATCGTACACAGTTCATGACCTTTGAATAGTGGACTTGTCCCTCAAGATCAAACGGCGGGAGTATTATGCATTAACCCCATTCTGTTGTCTTTGCTGCCGTTGTCGGTTGGTATTGTTGCCTACGACATTTTTGATTTTGCCATGTTGTCTCTTGTTTTTGACAGGATGATAGTATTGATGAGGTAGCGTCGTTGATCCGCATAGCCAATGTCTTACATCATCGTGGTGCATCGCGTATCTACGTTGTCGCCACCCATGGCATCTTCATCGGCAATGCGGCTGAGCTGCTGGAAGAGTCGTGTATCGACGAGGTAGGTCACTCCCCGGTCTTATGTCCGTTTCTACTGCTGAAGTGATGTGCGTATGGGTGTGTGTGTGTGTTGTCGCAAGCAACAGTCGGCCCGTCCCGATCACCATGCACTTTCGCGTCACAAACTTGTTTCCGTTTTTACTGAGTACAGTAGATCTCCCCTAATCCAGACCCCCAGATCCCCAGACCCCCAGTTCCGGGCACTTCCGTCTACCGAAGTTGGCTCTCCGTGTGAAATACTAAGGAGAGGGAGGATGGCTTGAGGACGTCAGCACAGTTTCTTCAAATACTCTTGGGCTGTGTTTACATGAGGCGTTTCAACCCGGGCTGAGTTCGACCCGGGTCAGATTTCAACCCGCCATGTGCACAAAATGAATGGCGCGTTTACATGACGCATTGCGCTTGACCCGGGTTGATTTCAACCCTCCCCCCAAGGGGAGGGTTGAAATCAACCCGGGTCAAGAAAATCGTACGAACGTACTTCTGTGCGTATCTCGCGCCAGGTTTGAACAGCACTGCAGATAGCAAATTTCGCGCAAACGGATTCACGTGACCATACAGGACTGTAGAAGTGGACTTTTGGTGGCATATCAGTATTTGACCCGGGTCAACTGTCTTCATGTAAACGCTCGCCTCTTTTGTCTATCGTACAGACTTTCAACCCGGGCTGAACTCGACCCGGGTTGAAATTTCTCATGTAAACACAGCCATAGCACATGTACTACTACTGCCAGTTGCTGCTTGAACTCTGCCGCTCTTCTACTTTGTATGTATGTGTGTGTGTGTGTGTGTGTGTGTGTGTGTGTCTGTGTCTGTGTCTGTGTGTGCACGTGTGTGTGTGTCTGTATGTGTCTGTGTGTGTCCCATGTGGTGCAGTGGTATATGCGGCGATTTCCAATCGATGGGTTGCGGGTTCAATTCCCGACGATATGGTCACACACGTCTTTCTTCTCTTTCTCAGACTCTTCCTGACTTTTCTTTCATTCTCCTGGGTGGTTACCAACAGCCAGTGCATGCCGGAGTATGTGGTGTGATGTGTGTGCGGGAAAAAAGAAAGAAAAAAAGACCAAAAACGACCAAAATAGGGATTCACTGGCCAGAAAAAGTCACTTCAAATAGCTGTATGGTGTAGACCAGGCTGAATAGTGACGGTCAATTCTTCAGCCTTGCAAGCTGTTGAATGGTGCAATCCCAGCACAAGTTGCTATGGCTTCTGCCGTAGCATTGCTATCATCGCCTTCGGCGATGGGCGTCAAAGGTCAAATGTGTCTGCTTGTGCGTGTCTGTTCTAGATTGCGGTGACGAACACCGTACCGCAGGAAGAGTTTGCCAAGACGTGTGCAAAGGTGAAGACCATCGATATCAGCCCTCTGCTGTCCGAGGCAGTGCGCCGCATTCAGAACGGCGAGAGTATGTCGTACCTCTTCCGCGACATCTCCACGTACGACTGAAGTGCCCACACTTGTGCACGGTTGCATCTGGACACACGCATAATGTGTGTTTGTATGTGGGTACACGTGTACCCACAAGCTACCCTGTCCGAGAAGGGGAGCAGCTATGTTTACATACTACTAGTAGTGTACATATGATAGAAGTATTTTGAAAAATAAAGTCATCGTCCTGTGCGCACTGTCGGATCAGCGGCCTTGCACACTATCAGGCGAATGCCGCCGCCGCCGCCCAGTGATTCTATAGAGTTTATTACAACAACGCGGGGTCGCAGTCTAGTCTCTTCTACTCGTCTGTGAACCCTGCACACACGCTCGCTCGCACGCGTGCAGTTAGTTAATCGTGTACTACTCTAGACTAGCCCTCGCTGGTGTCTTGCCACCATCACCTCCGCTGCTGCTGCCGCTGCCGGTACTTGTCAGGTCGGCAGCTATGTGCTGACAGCATTTTCGGCCGTGCTCAACATCATTGCTGTGGAGTTGTGTGTGAGTGGCGGGCAGGCAAGTACGACATGCGCTGCAGGGTCTTATCTTGTACATAGTCTATGATTCCAAGTTTTGTTCAACTCCTATTATGATCTATTTTCTATAATAGCTATCTTTGATTTCTTGGTGTAGGCAGTTTCTAAATTGGAAAGTCCACCTATCTCTGTGCCCGTCCTTGTTCTAGTGCGCTTCTCTCTGTGTCCTCTTCTATGCTTGTAAGAGGTACCACTGTTCTGCTGTTGGTCAGTTTCACTTTCCCACCCAGTTTAATTCCATCCCCCCTTGACTCTGTCTCTCGATCGACCTTTTTGATCTCTTTTTCTTTTCACCTGGCTGCGGACAAGCTGACTATTGACATCATGTCAACTTCAGTACTCGTACCGACAGCAACATCATTACAGTCATTACATTGTAATGATGTTGCTGTCGGTATTGTGTTTAGCCATGTTCGAACCATGCTTGTCCATACTGCCTACCTGCCTTCTCTGTACATACTACCTGTTGGTAATGCTTTCTATGTTTTTTCATAATTATATGAGCACCCCTTTCTTAGTCACATTGATTCTGTGCAGATACAACGGCAGAATACCCATTTCGCCGCGTGTCTGTACGCATGGCGCCCCAAAAGCCAGCAAAATACACACAAATGCGTGGTTTCACATGCGTACATGCGCCAGTTGTGAACACAGCTTAACTGTTACTGGCTTGCCTCATGCATTGAGCAGCACAGTCCGTGCACTAACCATCCCATGCATGCATGTAACATTAGCCAAGTGTCACTTCACAATGCACATGTCATCATCACATCATAGAAGCGAATACTACAGAGTAGTCCTGCGCTGGTCCCTGGAGCGCTCATCACACACAGACCTGTACTGGATAGCCTAGAGTGGACAATGATCAATTTTCAACCACACGCGTGAAAATACACACACCACACACACACACACACACACACACACACACACACACACACACACACACACACACACACTATCTGTCTCTGAACAGCCTCTGGTCTACATCACCAGGAGCTGAAGTTGGAAAAGCCACCGGAGCCGACTTTCTTCTTCTTGACACCAGGATCGGCTGATTGTGTCGATGAAGGAGATGATAGTGTTGTTGTGCTACTGTCCTGCACTTGTGAGGCAGGTCGCTTGCTAGCAGTCGGTAGATACTTTCCAATGGCCTTGCTTTTCGCAGCCGTGGCGCTGAATTCTGTATCCAGACCGATTCCACTCTTTCGTAGCCTCTCCTGAAACATCACAAACGTAGATATGGATAACAATGCATGCATACACACGTGTACACAACACACACATGCACACACACGCACATGCACACACACACACACACACACCAGCAGCAGCAGCGGACAACATTATAGTGCGATGACACTCAAATTGGTCTAAAACACGTCTTTCCCAGTTTGTGTGGTGATTTCGAATACAAAATATGACGTGTACGTGCTTTATGCAGTGTACGCCGGACCATCCAAGGTTATGCAGTGTACGCCGGACTATCCAAGGTTATGCAGTGTACGCTGGACTATCCAAGGCACATTAAGTCTGCACTACATAGCTAAGGTACTGTATATCTATAACTCAGAAGCTGCGACAAACTCGGCCTTTTGAAAATAATTTGAAACTGACCACTTCTCCACGCTGCCCTCTTGGCCCACATTCACCACACCATAGCGAGGAAGTTCTTTCTTCGATACATGTTCCACATTCTCCATGGAGAGAGATGGACAGTTTCAAAGTGCTGTATTATATCGACGGGCAAATGACTGATGCAGTGTACATGTAAAAGCAAAATGGAGGGTACTCGAAAACAGCTCACGTACTGAGCCTGAAGTGTGTCCTTTTTCTGAGAATTTTCGCATTCTTGGCTCCGAGGAAATTATCTTATACCAAAAAAATCACAGTTCGCGTGAGACTCAGCTGGAAACCGAGTTTTCCGCATCCGTAGGAACGCCACCACCCTTCAAGGATCAAGGCGCAGATGCAGCTCCTAAAGCGGGGATACCAAGGTCGTACTTTATTGAACTGAACTGTTTTACTGCATTGACTGCGTTTAACACAGATAGCACACTGTAAGTCTGTATACCTTTCTTGTTGGCTATGCAGCGGGAAATGGGAAATAAACTGGAACAGGAAAAATAAAAATAAATAAGCTAGGGCCCTGGTTCGAGTCCTGGTGGTGACAGTCAATTATTCCTTCAGACTTTTCCTGTTTGCATCTTTCCTTAAAACTAGTGAATAACTGGAACAGAGAATAATAATAATAATTGTGTTCTGTACAACATTGAACTGGGAAAATGAGCCAGTATGAAATGTAAAATAGAAGAAAACACATGGAAACCTTGAACCTTCCAAGTTGGAAGGCTGTTGGTTTGCAAACTGGAGATGTGTTACAGCTAGGTCTTAGGTCGCTGAATGTCTCAGTAACCTGTCAGTTTTGTGCCCTGTTATAGGCCATTCACACGACGGGCAAACTTACTTTTATCGTACTGTTTCCAAGGATATTTACTCGGATACGATAAACTTGGACACACGCGAGCAACTGATTTTTTATCTTGGCCGAGGCCCTTTTGCTCGCGATTATCTTTGCACGCCAGGAAAAGTGTCGGTTGTTGAAAGTGCGTACTGCAAATGCAGTGCATGAACAAGGGAAAATTCAAAATTGAACATTTCCCGGCATTTTCAGGAGGTCACTATGGATACATTGACGGTTGCAAAGTTTGCCCAGCACCGTGTGAACTGGATCACGGTTTGCCAGTGTTATCTTGGTCACACACGCGCAAGTGTTTACACGTCGTGTGAATGGCCTATTATCGCACGTACTGACCGCTTATTATCTTGTTACAGTCGTGTACATTCGTGGATAGTTGCTTCAAACCTCGTTTCCATGTGTTTTCTTCTTCTGTTCTGTGCAATAACGAGAGAGCTTGGAAGCTCAGGGCCCTACGCTATGCTTTTTTGCCTTGGTGACCTACACAAAAAAAAAGCATAGCATGTTATAAATTCTTTAAAAAATTCCTTTTTTTAGACATAACCTGGGATTCGAACCCGCACTATCGCGCGCCCTGCATTCATCCCCCGATGCACTTCGCATACATACTAATTCTTCCAAGTTGTATGGGGGAATGCATGTAGGGCGATAGTGCGGGTTCGAATCCCAGGATATGCCTGAAAAAAAGGAGAATTGAAAAATTTATAACATCCTATGCTTTTTGCCGTCAGATACGGATAGCGCCAGGCGTGACACAAACAAACACACAAACAAACACCAAATTAAAGCTGTGTGGACCCTGGCTAGCGCCAGACGTTACTGAAGTAACGTCTTCTGCATAGCTACGGGAATAATTATTATTATAACTGGGGATCACATATACCCGTGGCTCCTTCTCGCTACACTGTTTCCCTCCCCAACAGGCTTTCTTCCCCGCAACACTAATTTGAGCTGGATAGGAGAAGAACCAACGCCTTGAAATCCTATTTTCTTTAGAGCAAAACCCAACAGGAGCTGCTAGAGAAGAACCAGTGACACTGGAACACAGGGGCGGCTGCTTACCGCTTCTGCTTTCTGCTTGATGGTGGCTTCTTCTGTCTCCTTCTCCTTGGTCATCTGCAACACAGCAAGGGTCATGAAACAAACTACTGTAATAATCGGGAATTTTCCCTGGTACGTAATATTTTCAGTGTTTACCAAAATCAACGGTTCGGTAGCGCGGACATTTCGGTAAACCAGTTTTCCAGCTCCGAAATGTATTTTGCACACTGCGTGGCATGGCTTGTTGAATTTTAGGTCACGTTTTATGGTAGGTAAAAAAAAACTACCCGTACCGAAGTTACCGAAAATAAATCTTCACCGAAATTTTCCGGTTTTACAGTATAGCCCGCGCGTCCGCTTGTCACACACCAGGGACAATGGAATTAGCAGCTTGAGCCCTGTAGAGAGGTTTGTTTGTCAGGCAGTTTGGCCTCGAGCGCCAGGCTGCCTATGGCCTACGGTCACTCATGGTTTACAGTCATGTTGATACGTTCCCCATACCTTACAGCAGTCATCAAGGAATTCAAGAATGACAGCTCAAACTGCCTGCAGTGACAGTCAGTGAATGAGTACTGTAAAACATACTATTTTCGGTGAAACCTTAATTTCGGTGATTTCGGTACAGAAACCAGGCACCTATAAATTTAAATTACACCTAAAAGGCACTAGAGTATGCACTGTGTATGAGAAGAGAAAGCTGGTCACCTAATTCTACATTACACCCGAAACCTGTCATATGTCCCTGGCACCCAATTGTTTTTTAAAATACACCTATTACATGACATGTTGTACTAGTAGACTCGGAGGGAGTTGTGGTTGCTCGTGAGAGTGCTCAATACACCAAGGTGCAGAGCCTAATACACACACTTGAGAGGGACGAAAAGCGTTTCTTCTGTAACTCTGAGTTTCACGGTTTTAACCGATCATCAGTTGCTGTCTGATGATCGGTTAAAACCGTGAAACTCAGAGTTACAGAAGAAACGCTTTTCGTCCCTCTCAAGTGTGTGTTGTACTAGTACATGTATGCCGGAAACACAAGGTGAGTGTGAGGACTGAGGAAGGTGAGTGTGAGGACTGAGGAAGGTGAGTGTGAGGACTGAGGAAGGTGAGTGTGAGGACTGAGGAAGGTGAGTGTGAGGACTGAGGAAGGTGAGTGTGAGGACTGAGGAAGGTGAGTGTGAGGACTGAGGAAGGTGAGTGTGAGGACTGAGGAAGGTGAGTGTGAGGACTGAGGAAGGTGAGTGTGAGGACTGAGGAAGGTGAGTGTGAGGACTGAGGAAGGTGAGTGTGAGGACTGAGGAAGGTGAGTGTGAGGACTGAGGAAGGTGAGTGTGAGGACTGAGGAAGGTGAGTGTGAGGACTGAGGAAGGTGAGTGTGAGGACTGAGGAAGGTGAGTGTGAGGACTGAGGAAGGTGAGTGTGAGGACTGAGGAAGGTGAGTGTGAGGACTGAGGAAGGTGAGTGTGAGGACTGAGGAAGGTGAGTGTGAGGACTGAGGAAGGTGAGTGTGAGGACTGAGGAAGGTGAGTGTGAGGACTGAGGAAGGTGAGTGTGAGGACTGAGGAAGGTGAGTGTGAGGACTGAGGAAGGTGAGTGTGAGGACTGAGGAAGGTGAGTGTGAGGACTGAGGAAGGTGAGTGTGAGGACTGAGGAAGGTGAGTGTGAGGACTGAGGAAGGTGAGTGTGAGGACTGAGGAAGGTGAGTGTGAGGACTGAGGAAGGTGAGTGTGAGGACTGAGGAAGGTGAGTGTGAGGACTGAGGAAGGTGAGTGTGAGGACTGAGGAAGGTGAGTGTGAGGACTGAGGAAGGTGAGTGTGAGGACTGAGGAAGGTGAGTGTGAGGACTGAGGAAGGTGAGTGTGAGGACTGAGGAAGGTGAGTGTGAGGACTGAGGAAGGTGAGTGTGAGGACTGAGGAAGGTGAGTGTGAGGACTGAGGAAGGTGAGTGTGAGGACTGAGGAAGGTGAGTGTGAGGACTGAGGAAGGTGAGTGTGAGGACTGAGGAAGGTGAGTGTGAGGACTGAGGAAGGTGAGTGTGAGGACTGAGGAAGGTGAGTGTGAGGACTGAGGAAGGTGAGTGTGAGGACTGAGGAAGGTGAGTGTGAGGACTGAGGAAGGTGAGTGTGAGGACTGAGGAAGGTGAGTGTGAGGACTGAGGAAGGTGAGTGTGAGGACTGAGGAAGGTGAGTGTGAGGACTGAGGAAGGTGAGTGTGAGGACTGAGGAAGGTGAGTGTGAGGACTGAGGAAGGTGAGTGTGAGGACTGAGGAAGGTGAGTGTGAGGACTGAGGAAGGTGAGTGTGAGGACTGAGGAAGGTGAGTGTGAGGACTGAGGAAGGTGAGTGTGAGGACTGAGGAAGGTGAGTGTGAGGACTGAGGAAGGTGAGTGTGAGGACTGAGGAAGGTGCCACACATACTTACCTCAGCATCCACGTCATCAAACGGATTGACAAAGACAGAACAGTCTGTGATCTCGATGGGTTCCTGGACAGAGAGGACACAGACCCATGCACAACAACCACCATATAGCAGAATGAGCGAGAGTGAGAGAGAGAGTGAGTGTGTGTGTGTGTATGTGTGTATGTGTGTGTGTAAAAGTGTGTGTGTTTTGTGCTGGAGGTGACTGGAAGGAGATTTTTGAGCTCCGGTTTTTTAGAAGTTTTCTTCCACGGGCTGGTCTCCAGCTCCGGCTGGGGCCAGCCCAGGTGAGTTATAGACTCACAGTAAGTAGAGTAGCTGTGCTGAGCGAGGCAGCCGTCATCTTGCTGCCGCGGACGAGGACAATTCAGCGTCGACAACATGGTCACCTCGGATATGACCACTCGCGCTGACCCTCGTCCGCCTGAGCGCGGAGGAGTTGCAAACCCCCGCTCAGAGCTTAGCTCGCAGCATGCACCAGCCGCTCGGAGGTTCGTGCTGTCTCTGGGAACCTGGAATGTGAGGACTCTTGTTGAGTCCGACGGCGACGTGAATACGGCTTCAAAATTTCAAAAAAAATCAAAACATTTGTTGCGGGAGGAGAAGAAAATTGACCTGGTTTGTCGGCAGCTTGGACGTTTCGGAGTGGATATCGCAGGTCTGCAGGAGACCCTTTGGTTCGGCACGGCTCAGTACAGCGTTGGCGACTCTCTCGTGTTGGCGAGTGGACGCCCTACTCCAACGGCGGATGACTCCGGACGTCGTGGTGAAGGTGTGGCGATAGTGCTGCGCGGAAAGTGCAAAGACGCCTTTGTCAGCGGCGGTTCCGAATGGAAAGGACACAGCTCGCGACTTGTCTCCGCGAAGGTAAAGTTCGAATGTGGTCGTAATCGTTCAGTATCTTGCATTCATATCGCTGTTGCGTATGCACCAACATTCAGTAGATCACGTGAGGAGAAAGCTGCGTTCTATGAAAGTTTGCAGTCCTTCCTTGATAGTGTACCCAGGAGTGACCAGTATGTCATACTCGGCGATTTCAATGCTCGTGTTGGTGTTGGTACTGCTGGAGACGAGTGGAGCCGCGTAAGGGGTACACATGGACATGGCGTCATGAATTCTGCTGGAGAGGATTTACTAAACTTCCTGGCCAGAAACAGTGCGCTCATCTGCAACACCTGGTTCAAGAAGAAGGACATCCACAAGCACACGTGGCACCATCCCAGATATGGGCAGCCTCATTGTATCGACTACTGCATTATTCCAGAGTCATGTCAGCGTCAATGTCTGGATTGTCAAGTTCTCCGCTCTGCGGAGTGTGACACCGACCATAAGTTCCTTGCCATGAGATACCGCTTGGCGGCGGTGCCCAGTTTCCGCAGGCAAAGTAAACCAGCCAACAAACCCATCGCTTCCGCAGTCCTAACGGCTCCCTCCAATGATGATGTGCGAGCAAAATATTCCACTAGTCTTGATGCTGCCTTGGTTCAGAACTGGCCGGATGAGCTATCTGTGGACGGATGCTGGGCCGCGTTGAAAACTATGGTGGCGGACGTCGCTCAGAAATGCCTTGGCAGAGAACGGCGCAAACAACCAGACTGGTTCCTGGACAATCGACCGAAGATTGAGGCTGCCCTCCGTGAGCGAGACGATTGCTACCGAGCCTGGATGTCGACCAACAGGGCAAGTGATCAGAAGCTGTATAAGAAGGCCCGAAGTTCAGCTCGCCGTATCGTTCGTCAAGCAAAGCAGGACTGGCTGAGAAAGCAGGCTCGGGACTGCGAACGCTTTAGTCTAACATCTAAGGGAGGCTGGGAGTGCATCAAGAGGATCCAGACTGCACTTGATGGATTGCAGCCCCGCAAGACAGCTGCTATCAAGAATGCGCAGGGTGTTGTGTGCGAGACACCAGAGGCAACAGGTACGCGATGGCGGGAGCATTTTGACGGTGTCCTAAACGTGATCAGTGATTTTGTCCCAGATGCCATTGATTCCATTGGGCAGCTACCGATTCGGCTTGACCTTGAGAATGCCCCAGCCTGCAGCGAGATACACCGTGCTAACTTATGCGAGCTCTTCAAAATGGCAAAGCATGTGGCCGATCAGAGATAACAGCGGAGATGCTCAAGTGCGGCTCTGAACTGGTGCCTAGGTTGGAGATGTTGTTGGCTGAAGTTTGGCGGACGGAAAGGGTTCCTCAGGATTGGGCAGACGCCATCTTAATCCCAATTCCCAAGAAAGGTGATCTTAGTGACTGTGGTAACTGGCGAGGCATCGCGCTTCTAGACGTGGTCGGCAAGCTGGTGGCAAGAATAATAGCGGATCGCCTACAGCTGGTTGGAGAGGAATACCTGCCTGACTCCCAGTGTGGTTTTCGCCGTGGTAGGGGATGCTCAGACATGGTGTTCTCAGTACGCCAGGTTGCCGAGAAATTGCATGAGCATTCATCAAAGGGCTTTGCGGTGTTCATCGACTTGCGCAAAGCATACGATTCAGTACCTAGAGCAGCCATGTGGAGGGTTCTCTCCAGGCTCGGCGTGCCGGATAAGATGATCTCCATCATTCGGTCGTTCCATGAAGGCATGTCTGCATCCATTCGTCTCGGCGCAGATCTGCTCGACCCTTTCCCGGTGGGAAATGGCCTACGTCAGGGATGCACTATGGCCCCGATCCTGTTCAACTTATTCATGGGTGCGGTTGTGGAAAAGTGGCATGCTACCATCGCCAATGACGAGGATATCGGTATCCAGGTGTCGCAGTTTCGCAGAGACTGCTTGTTCAATACGCGTCTCAGAGAGTGTCGCAGGGTGACTATCACGGAGTGTCAGTTTGCGGACGATTCGTCACTGTTCGCCAAAACCTACGGCGGTGCTGAAAGGGCCTTGGCCACGTTTCGACAGGTTGCAGCATCTTTTGGCCTGTCAGTCAATCTGGGCAAAACTAAGTTCATGCCTATGGGCGTTGGTGTGGTGGCGTCGGATATGTTGCCTTTGGGTGGAACCGTCGAATGCGTGGACAGCTTTCGCTATCTTGGCTGCCAGATCACTCCTGATGCTAGGAGTAGCTTTGATGTCTCTCGCAGGATCGCCGCAGCTTCGGGTGCATTTGGCGCATTGAAGAAAGCTGTGTTTGCGAACTCGGAGTTTCCTATCGGTCTCAAGCGTGTTGTGTACGGAGTCACTGTGTTGGCAGTACTCCTCTATGGTGCTGAGAACTGGACACCGAGGCAACGGGATCTCCAGCGTCTGGAGTCGTTTCACCTGCGATCTATACGCATGGTCCTGGGCATCAGTCGGGCGCGCCAGATGGACGAGCACGTGACAACCCTTCAGGTACGGCAGTGGTGGGGTGACATGGAGCAGGTCTCTGACAAGGTCCGGCGCCGTCGTCTCCAATGGCTGGGCCACCTGGCTCGCATGGATGACCGTATTCCCCGCCAATTGCTCTTTGGTGCCTTGCCGTCTAAACGACCTCCACATGGCCCCCGGAAGAGGTGGAAAGACCCAATCAAACATGACC